GTCAGCAGCACCGCCAACATAATTTGTACAATCTCATATTCAGTACAGGATGGTCCAGATGTCTTGCGACTCCTAATTCATTGATCCCTAATATTTTTATTTTATACTAGCGGGAAGTACCCGGCGTTGCCCGGGTCTTAAAAATATTTCAAAACTACTCTTAAAAATCTAACAGCAGTGCGTACTGACTGTGGGGGTACCTGCTATGATTCAAATAGTGCATACTGTGGTGGTACCTGCTATGATTACAGCAGTGCATACTGACTGTGGTGGTACCTGCTATGATTAGAGCAGTGCATACCGACTGTTGGTACCTGCTATCACTACAGTAGTACATGCTGACTCTATTGCAGTATTTATCGACTCTATAGCACAAAGTACTCACCTGACAGTGGCGTGGTGAGGCCTAGTCCCGTGCAGAGCCTCCGGCCTCGCCTAGATTGTCCAGCCGACCGAGGTGGCACCATAGCAGGCTGGGGCTGGGCTGCTACCCCTGACACCCCCCCCCCCCCAGGCACGATGTCCCCGGCCGTTCTGCAGTAATATCTACGGCCTATAGTGGTAGCATCTACCGACTGTATAGTAGTAATAACTGCACGCATCGGGGTGGGGTGGACATGAGAGCATTTAGTGAAATTTTTATAGGATTTTTAACGCGAAAGAAAATGTCCCCCTCACTCCCACTGAAGGCGTGCGACTTGGCATGGGCTGCCCCCCACCAAAGGCGCGTGAGTTGGTATGGTCGTGCAAGCGTCATAAATAAAAGGGAATCGCACAAAAATAGCACTAAATCGCTAATTAATCTAATTTAAAGTTGACGGATGTAAAAAGGAATAGCGCTTGCTCACCGCGGGGCTTACGGCGTGGTACCTCGCTATTTTTTTTCACGTAAACTCCACCGTTGGATAGCCAAGCGCGCAACCACACACAAACCCCGCCACAAACAAACCCCACCACAAACCCACACACAACCCCGCCACAAACCCACACACAACTTTTTACTTTTATATATATAGATTGCTTACATTACATACCCATTGGTGTACAAATATTAAAATTTAGAGAATTAAATGTGGGTCACAAGACATGTGGACCACCCTGGACTTAGCGCCCCCCAGTGTCGTAGCGAGGGTTGGGGCCCAGTGGGGGGCGAGACGGGGTGGAGTGGCCACCACAGGTGCTCCGTCATTATCGGTGTCCGAAGTATTTTGACTGGAGGCGGGAAGGAGGAAGGGGGGATGGCACCCTAGGTACCAATGTGTCTGGTTCCTCTCCAAGAGGTAATGAAATCGTGACCCACGCAGAAAGGTAACGTTTAATTTTGTTTTGTATTAATGACATTAAATACAACAAAATACATTCTGGATTTAGGATTCATATAGTGTCTAAAATCAATCGCACTGCACAGGAATGGTAGGGCAGGCATCATTATAGTCGTGGAGGGCAGCAGATGTTAGGCTTTGTTTTTGTTTTTGAATGTAATCATCATCTACATCGAATGGTATTCAATTAATGCACCAATGGGTTTTCTGATGCAACGTGAATCCCGGTTGGGTTTTATTTACAAAGCAAGGAATAACAAAAGCAATGGGCTGGGTTTGACTTTGTTGACCCACATCAACGGTGATTGGCCTTTTCCACCGACGCCATTACTGCCTATTTATTTATAGCATTGTGTTCCAGCCGAGAGAGGCAGTCTATTCAGTGATGGACTACTCAGTGTTCCCAAGGGGGTTCTTATTTCAAATACGCACGCGCATGGCACCGTTCGGAATAGAACTTGCATTGGTTTTTTTTCCTGGAAGTTGGGAATTCTATCTCGAGTCATAATGAAAACGCACACACTCGCGCGCACACACAGTACCCGCCGTCATCTCGCCGGCGCTATTTTTAACGGGGGTGACCCCCGCAGAGACGCTCGCATTTGATGAGCGACTGGCACATCTCAGGCTCCGATCCAGATGAACGGTGCCCAAAATAATTAGTTGGGGCAAGCGACCTTGTTTGGCACCAATGGCCAACAGCCGCCCATACCAACAAGCCTATGCCCCTCGTCCTGCCCTGGTCAAATCACCTAGCATGCCCTTGTGGCTAGCAGACCTGGACATTGGCATTCATCACCCCATATACGCAAGGATAGAATAGAACGTGGCACGTCCCCTATCTTATCAGGTTCTCGGAAGCTTAAGCAGAGTTGAACCTGGATGATGCTTTGATTGGCGACCACTGCACAACAGGTTAATGTGGAGCGGCAGGACTTCGTGGTCGCGGAAGAAGGCAGTACAGCAATATACACGTTGTAATTATTTCTATACATCTACGTTACATGCTACTTGCCTTCATGGACTCCCTCTACCTAGCGTGGTTAATTAAATGTTTTCAAATCATTCCCATGATCCGTACAGGCCTCCGGAAGCCCTCATCCTGCAGTGTGTTGACAAACAGAGCTGTCTCTCTGCTAGTCTCTAGGGGGACGGTGACAAGTTGGGAAGAAGTGGTGGAAATTTCATATTGCTATGGCACAAAGTGGTACCTGGCCATTTTTATTCACATATACCCCACCGTTGGAGAGCCAAGTGCGCGATCACACACAAACCCACACACAAACCCCGCCACAAACCCACACATACATTTTAACTTTTATATATATAGATAAGGCTACCACCACGCTGAGTACAACTGCTGAATTTCTTATATTCACTCGCTGACAGTCCATTGTCAATCAACTGCTTGATTAAGGCCTCCCCACGTCTAAGTTCTAGGGGTTGGTAGTGAGCGACCTAGTATGAGCTCAGATATCCCTTGCCACTAATGTTAGCCATGGCTGGGAATCAAACTCAGGTCGCCCGGTTCATAGTGCAGTGCGCTCACAGCTGCGCCACCGCCCACCCCAAATTATAGAATTAGTGCTAAGAAATTAAAGCGAAATAATGTATATTTTGTATAAGTGAGCCAGTGGAATAAATTCCACATTACTATGGTCGAGAGCTAATACATCCAGAGCATAAGCGGCACTGAGATTAAAGTGATAAACGTCAGCGTCTGGTTTCGATAGGCAAGTATTTTTGGAATTACCACAGTCTCTGGATTATAAGATGCAATCTTTCCCCTTATAATTTAAAGGAACATTTGGGGTGCATTTTATCGTCTAGTCGGTGTGCGTGTGAGACCAGATGCATATCATAACTTTTATTGACACGGCGCAAAAGTTTTAGGGTTTGTCTTACTTTCCGGGGCGTCTTATAATCCAGAGAGAACGACAGTAATCCTGGAAATGGGTGTACAAAGTTTTATGGGCTGAATGCCTTGAGATGTAGAACACTAATAAGTGAGTCTGTGATTCTAGCCGTGGTTATATAAAAATCCAGTCTGCATTTCAGAATCATATCCATTCACATGCAAATTAAATCATTACACGTTCCATGTCTCATTATTGGCAAAAGTGAAAAGCCTGTATCGGGGGGGGGGGGGGGGGGGGGGGGGCTTTGAAGACTGCACAAAAAAATCTCTGGCACTGTATGAACCTGAATTTCTATGGCAAAATAGGCAAATCTGGGAACAAATAATAATTTACTCAGAGAGGCCTTATTGAATCTCAACTCTTCTTTAAGATTAAACAAATTGTGTGATGCTGCTGCGTTGGCAGTTGATGCACAAGCATAATTAACAACAACAACAAACTCAACACATTTATCAATAACACTGCGGCCTAAAAAGTTAAAAATGTGTAAAAGGCGACATTTTGGAAAATGTGCCTTCTTCATGGCACATACATCGAGAGGTCAGAGTTGAAGAGTGCACTCCTTAAGACCATTCAACCTCATGAGATTTTCAGATACTGTATATATTTGTAATGTTTTTTGATGACCAGTTTTTTAATTGGCACGTGAATATTTACCTAATAATAGCTCTTGGGTAACAAACCCTCAGCATCTCCTTTTGTGTGATGGGAAATGCTTGTAATGGGACGTCTAGTTTTGGCGATCGACCCAGTAGCTTCACGAGATGCTATGTGGAGAAATAAAGTTCCTTCCCCAACAGATGTCATTAGGCAGATCACACAAAAGGGAATAAAACTCAAATATCCACACATACTGATTCACAAAACCGTTTGGTGTACCCTTTTAACTCCCGGCCACTGTGCAGTGACGACTGATTTGGGATATTCACAAATCTCTGAGAACCAACAACCGTTGCCTCCAAAGCGTTAGATTTTGAGAAGTTTGGCCGTTACTTTTTACACCAAAACATCCGAAATACATCGCAAACAGAGGGGGTATTTTCGTGTCAAAATGAAAATTCCATAAATCTCACAAATACGCAAATCAGCATGGAGACGTTAATTATAGATATTCTTCTGAGACAGGAAGATGAACAATGGCTTAGATACAGTGACTATTAAACTAAGTCGATGGACACATGTCATGGCTAAAAGTGAGAATGCAGTGGACCACCGGTGGACATGAGTTGAATATCTTGGTGCATTTTGTGTGAACGTGGGGACCCACTGAGTGTGTGCGCGTGTGTGATGCCGTGTGTCATTGTCTTTGATGTTGTGGAGTGTGCTACGAATTCGGCGACCCGGGTTCGATTCCTGCTCATGGTCAACACCAGTGACGATTATCTGAACCGGTCCTGAGCCTCCTCTAGGTTGACTCGGCCTCAAATGAGTACCTGGTGCGGTGTGAACATCGCCACTGGGGATACAAAGGCGGCCCGGCTTGGTGCTGGCCACACACTCCCTCGTGTGCCGTGCCGGCCTTCATAGGTGCTCCTTGCTAACAGCACTTGCCCCAACAATCTGTTTAGGCTAAACGGGGAATATTTGTCTTTTATGTGTGTGACGCTGCGTGTGTGTGACGCGTGAGTGACGCCCCGTGTGTGTGTGACGACGCGTGTGTGTGGCGCGTGAGTGACGCTGCGTGTGTGTGACGACGCGTGTGTGTGGCGCTTGTATGGCGCGTGAGTGACGCTGCGTGTGTGTGTGTAACGTCGTGCAGCAGGTAACTGCTGGCTGCAGCAGACACGCGCCGGGCGGTGCAAGGAGCTGTTGCGTGCGGGCGTGTCGCGGGACGAGTGTTGCCGCGCTAGCGGGCCCGGCGCCGGCTTCACGGCGGGCGACCCCTCCTCGGCCACGCTCTTCCGCTGGCTCGCGCTCACCGGCGGGGCGCCCAACTGCACGCCCTGCAGAGGTGGGGCGAGGGTGGGGGGGCTGCAGCGACGGGCAGTGTCTGAATCACACGCGTGTTTCTCATGTGTAATTTCACCGTGTAGTCGGTAATTGGTTGTCTTCAATTACGTAGCAAAAATTAATTTGAAATGTTGTACTGTGTCTGCATCACACTGAGGTTAGTAATTTGTAATTTACATGCAATTTGGTAGTGGAAGGTGGCAGCCTTGGTAGGAATGCGTCCAGGGATGTACCTCTCCCTGTGGCCGTGGCTTCTGAACACTCCGGCCTTCGAGCGACCTGGAAAATGTTAAGTGACGAATTAATGTGGGAATACCACTCCCTGCCCGCGCGGCCTCTGCCTCGTTAATGGAAGACGCGACCAAAATAAACAATTGCTCTTACCCAGTCGGTGCCCAATCAAACAGCCCTTGCAGCTGCATGCCTAGGCCGTGCAACCCAGGCTGCCTGACATGAGTTCGAAGCTCTGGTAAATAGACAAAGGTCATTAAAAGTTATGAGCGCGGTATTATGGGAATCTCGTGACGTTACTCAGTCCCTCCAGAAAAACGCGGAGTTTTTTGGTGATTGTTGCGGGCAAAAATCGTTGATTATGCGGCACGTTTTCTTAAAAAATGCGATGGAATATGCGGGATATTTATGCAATTTTATGCGATTAAATTGCGGGAACTTGCAAAAATTGCGGGAACTTGCAAAAACTGCGGTTTGATGAAAAAGAGAAAAAAAAGTGATTCCCCCAACACCCTATTCACTAGGCTATTACTTTAATGTAAAGAGTCATTTCTTATTACTTCCTATGATAAGCAAGCATACTACATCACAGAAAGTGCTGGGAATATTTAAGTTCTCATCTTGTTTTATTTCAGACCTTAACAAACAGATGGCTCAAACTTCTGTAGCTTTACAAAATGAATATGCTACAACTTCTGTAAAAATGAATAAATAAAATATTAAAAAATAAAATGTGTGCTTCCTGTTTTACAGAGGTAGCTATACAAAACAGACATCTTCTGTTAAAATAAGTGTTTTCAGTGCACAGTAACGTAAGCAATACAGTAACAGTACAGTCTTACAGTAATGTAAATTTACATACTACTAACAAAAAAGTGCAATCTTACAACTGTAAAGTTGCATAAACTCCTGAATAAAACTAACTACGTAGCCTCTAACACTGGCCAATCATTCACCATCCTCATCCTCCATCCCCTCTCCCTCAGTGTCCATCTCCTCCCCCTCCACCATCTCCTCCCTCTCAAATGCTCCACTGCGGACTCGTTGGTTATGGTAAAGGAAGACCAAGGCTTTGAGGTTTTGGTTGGTAGTTGATCTTCTTCGGTTAGACAACACTAGTTTGTAGATGCTGTTGCTGCGTTCAGCATCAGCTGAGTTTGAGACAGCATCTTTGTACCGCTTGGCCAAGGAACTCAGCACAGGAAGTCTCTCCTGTAGGCCATCCCAAAACACATCCAAATCCACCACGCCGAATGGTGCAGCTCTGAGTGCTGCTGGACCAAGAGTCTTGAAGTAAGAATCAAATTCATCACCCTGCACTTCAGTGAAACCTGGAATGGCCTTGTAGCTTGCTACGGAGTCATCTAGGAATGCAATGTGGCGAGGGTCAAACACCCTAACCTCCTGGAGAAACTCAATGGCCGGCTGCCCATGTGACATGTACTTGGTGAGCTTTTCTTCAGCGTTTTCATATGCCTGACCAACTGTGCAGAGGATCTGTGTCTTTGTGGTGTAAGGTAAGTTAAACCCTTCAAAGTATTCGGCACACGCCTCATACTGCAGCTCTTTGTTGGCAGCAAAGACCACCTGCAGATCCTCCAGATAAGTGAAGATCTTTGTGGTCACAGGACGTCTGCTCTGGAAGATATCGAGAAGACTTAGGAAGCGTTTGCACTTGTCAGCCATGATGTTGATCTGGACATTCAGGGACTGAGCTAGATCTTGGTCTTGAAGCATCTCGTGGAGTCTCTCCACAGACTGTGGAGCACTTCTGCTACACACCTATAAAAACACAAATAGAAAGAAAGGAATTAGGTCAAACATACAATATGTTCAATGCAATTATTTTTTTTACTTTGATCTTACTAAACTATTCATGTTTGTATGTGCAAAGGGGGTTAACTGATGAAGAAAAGGAAGTGTTAATTGTATTGAGGAATTATGTGAAGGAAGTTTTTACCTCGATTTCCATCTCTATGAACTCCTTGTACAGTCCAAAGTGCTGTGCGTGGTACTGCACTGCAGAGAACCAGGAGTTCCAGCGTGTTGCACAGGGGTTTGGAGGCATGACCGCCTTTTTTCTAGGCAGCTTGTTTGACAAGAAGCAGAGGTATCTTCTATTGCGTGATCCAGCATTGAAGAACATCTGGGAGAAACTTAGCATGAAGCTGTTCAACTGAACAAAAGGTTTGCGGAAGGCAATGAGATTCATTATGTGTGCCATGCATGTGATGTGTATCGAGTTGGGGAACAACGACTGCAGAGCTGCTGTGAATGCCTTCTTCATGTAGGCTGCATTATCAGTGTCGAACACAATCACATCCTCGTTGTTAATGCTGTATTCTTGAAGGCACCTTACGACAGACATGGATACAGTGGAATGATTGCATTGCTCAAGGAAAACAGTATCTGCAAGGTAGGCCAAGATCCTCCCAGAATGATCCTTCTCAAGTGGTGCAAGGAGGATATTCAGGACACATCTCCCCTCGACATCTGGAGTCTCATCAAATATCACAGCAAGAGGTTTTCTGGCAAGAAGTGTCTTCAGCTCCTCTTGTTCCTTCTCATATACTGCTCCCAAGTACATATCTTGAAGCTGGTGAAACCCTGGAATGGCGCCGCCATTGATGACTTTCTCATTCAGAAATTTCCTCAGTGCAGGGTGGTCAGTCTTAGACAGTGGGATGTTGATGGCAGTGCAGGTGGCAACCCAGGTTTCACAAATCTACAAACAGAAAAATACTTTTGTATCATTGGGCTGTATTACACACACACACAAAGTCCAGTGTAACCTACAGAAAACTGCTGTATAAAACTGAATCATTTACAGTAAGCCTTTCACAGAACAGTAGTGTTTCTGCAAATAAAACATAATTCTTTCATGCCAAAATCAATCATCTTGCATGGGAAATTACACTACTGTTAGTCTATCTAACCCTAACGTTAACTTACATCCACACACAACATACTTGGAAATCTCATTCACACACACCTCTCTCTGTTTCAATTTAACTATCAGCCTTTTCATAATTTTACAAGCTTTAATCTAATAGGCTACTGACCTTGATTCTTTCAGCCCTAGCAACTGTTTTGGAAGTTGACGCCTCGGTGTAGGTGAGCTGCTTCATCTTGGCTGATTCCGCTGCTGCTTTAACCATCCTCGAATGTTTGTCGGTTGCAAAGTGACTGTCCAGCGTCGACTTCTGCCTGTGGTCCAACACGCAGTTGCACGGAGTGCAAAATAATTTGCCCCCACTGTCATGTAACACACTGGGAAACTGCTTTGTGCGGTCTTTTGCGCTTATGTTTGTTGGCAAATGAGAAAGATTTGCGGGCTTCATCATGGTTTCATTGACATCGCGGGGTTTGCAGCTTTTCAATGATGTCGCGTAATGAGTGACGTCACTTCATAACGTTCCCATGGCAACAGGGGAAATGGCTGCGCTTGTGTGAAGTAAACGCAACATTTTTCAACTTTCTGCTAAGATATATGTGACTTTTTGCAACGAAAATGCGGGGATTATGAAATCATGCAAGCCCGCATATTTTGCGCGCGGAAATCTGCAATTTATGCGGCGAAAGTGTGGCGTATTTGAAAAAACGCGCCCCCCGCATAAATATGCGGACTTTGGCTGATTTTGCATGGAATCATGCGATCGCATAATCGCGTTTTTCTGGAGGGACTGGTTACTGCGACCAGCATGCGGTGCCACTGCACTTCGACCCACGGGCCGGAGGGGGCGGGATTTTGGATAGAGAGTCCCAGCGCCCATGCCAAGCATGCCACACCACTGTCTACGGCACCACCGCCACGCAATTTAAACACTGTCAGTGTCCTTGTTCTGTATGGCACGTTGCAGACATAAACCATCACGCAAACTCCGGTCATCCGCACAGCAGCGGCTTTTGGCGAACCATCGAACAAAGACGGTCACTGCATTGCGTGCTTTCATCTGCGCTTCTGCGGTGGTTTGGAACGCTCTTCTTTCCAATATTAGGAAGCCACTGGAGCTATGCACTTTCACATCTAGATTGAAAACAAAATTTTTGGAACTGCTTTTTGTATTTAGTTTGTCCTTCTCCCGCACCTCTGATTAGCACAGTTGGCTACGTACAGTGCGAAATTGTTCAATATACATACGACAGACAATTCTGGCTGTCGCCTGATGAGGCTGGTTGTAATTACCAGCGAAACTTTGTGTTCAAATTGTACATTTTGTGGGTTTACTTTCCAACACACCAGTGTGCTGAAGTAGTAACGAATTGTCATGTTTTGTTTATGTGACAAACCTTACCAATTATCTGTGTCGGTGGTGGCGGGTTTAACGACACATTGATATTTACATGACCTAATCCGAAAAAACCTCTCATGGAAGCAAATTTATATTTAGAATGGCTGTAAATGTTAGAAATTGACCTCTGGGTTTATTTGACAAGGATGGCGGTGAGCTGGCGGATTGCTTTGGTGTCGTTCAATGGTCTTGTAGGGTAGGTGGCAGCTGACCGTGTGCTTCGTTATTCGCTCCACTTCACAGTGGCATCTGTAACGATATTTCATCTTCCGCTTGTGCAGAAGCTGAACGCATAGGCCGATGTGCTATCAACAGAGTAACTATGGCAGTGTGCACAACCGTAACTTTACAGTTCTCCTTTTCTCATTGTTGATGCTTCAAGCCTCTATTGGACTGCCTGAACCTCACTCACACAAACAATATATATCGACAGTATGATTATAATTATATTTACTTTAATCTGCCTTTTTAATTAATC